CCATTTACCCTCTACAGGAAGCAAAACTTCAAATCCCAAAGCAACGACCTCCAAACCACCAACCAACGACGGGTCACCTGACGCCATGCCGAGACTGGGGAAAAAAATCGGCACCAGAGGGGGGTTTCTTTTTGCCACCTTTGGTGGAAAAATGATGGAACCTTTTAGTGAAGGATTCCTGGTTGAAAAGGTCGCCCATTTTCTCTTACAACAGGTGGCAAAAAGAGAAAACCCCCCCTGATCCGGCACCGCCAGGACTCAGACTCAGACGTGCTGCGAGGTGCAAAGCGCCGGATTTTGTTGCAACTCCACTGTTTGTTGGTTCCCCATCCGAAACCTAAGGGGTCGCCCAAATTTGCTTGGGGGCTTTGGAAAGCCCTGGAGGTTCGAGCAAAGTTCTGGACCTTTTGGAGTGGTTAGGCGTAAGGTTCAATATTCCAGGCATAAGCTTCAAGGAAGGTTGAGGGTCAGGCGCAGGCCAGGTCTAAGGTTCAAGGAAGGTTGCGGGGTGGTCTGGTGCAGGCCAGGTGTAAGGTCCAGGTGTGAGGTTCAAGGAAGGTTGCGGAGGCTCCGGGGTGAACAAAGGCAAAGGCTTTGGCGGCTGCGGGAACAACTATGGCTACAACAACTACAAAGGAGGAAAAGGCAAGTACAATCAACCGGTTGGACAATGAAATCCTTCCAAAGGACAACAAGGATATGGCAAAGGAAAAGGATACAGCAACAAAGGAAAAGGCAAAGGATTCTACAACAATCAACCAGGAGGAGAAGGAGCAGAAGGAAAGCAAGCAACAAATGTTTGCTACAGATGCGGACAACCAGCACACATGGCCAAACAATGTAGAGTGGCGATCTACAACTGCGACACTGGCAACTTCGACACCAATGACCAGACAGATGACTGGTACAATCAAGCACACCATGACAGCAATTGATACCACCAGGATCAGACAGATGCAACAACTAGCACTGCCACAACCAGCAAGAAGTAACAATTGCCATGATTGGCACAGCACATCAACACAGAAAACAACAAATGGGTCAGCCTTATGATTGACAGCGGTGCGGCTACACATGTATGCCCACCATGGTTCGCAACACAATTCCCACTACAGCAGCGTAAACATGGAATAGGACCACAACTGAGAACAGCAACCAACCAGCACATCAAGCTCTATGGGTTCCGTTGGGTTTGCGTGACAAACCACAATGAACAACAGATTGTCACACCATTTTCGTTGTGAGGTTAAACAGCCAATTCTTTTGGTTACAAAGCTGGTGGAACAAGTTTCCAACTTACATTGGATGACAATCCAAGACTACAGCGCAGCAAGGGATTCAACAGCACACTGGAGAACAGAGACGGCCTGTTCTTCCTACAAGCAGAAATCACAGTATTGCCAAAAGGAACAAAGCTACAGACACACAGCACGCAGCAAGGACAGATTGGCATGATAGCACCGACCACAACGCTTACACCACAAGGCATTGCAGACACAGGTCATGCAGGAGACTACTGGCAGTTCAATACACAAGGTGAACTTGTCAGAGTACACAGACAATACAGGAAGACACTCTTCACACCATCAAGAGCACAGTGTCCAGCCCCAGCAGAACAACTTGAGGCCTACAGAAGAACAATCCAAACAGAGCACAACAGGAAATGTGGAAAGGAGAAGCAGCATTCAGGCTTAAGAAAGGCACAGCATTGCCAGAGACAATACAGCAACAGCTTGCAACAAAGACACAGCCAAGGAGCACACCGCAGAAAGTTACCCAAGTGATTCGGCACAACCCACGCACACAATTGAGAAAAAAGACAACACTACCAACAACACAGATTTCAGCAGCACCACACACCACCAAAGGTCAGCTTCAAAAGTACATCATGGGGGAGACTACTGGCACAGAGAAAGCCCATACTGCATTGCGCCAGACATTAAGCGACTTACTCCTTGGAGACAAGGTACAGCCGGTAGGAGAAAGGCACAACAGGAGATTGGTAGAAGATGAATGGACAACACTGCAAGCAAAGACATCAGACAAGCCTTGGACAGGCTGGACACATCAGGAGTTTCCTACACAACTTGGGTCAGATGATAAAGAGCAACAACAAGGAACAAAAGCAAAGGTAGTACAAGCGCCTAAGCAACCAACACTACAGGAGATACTCGAGCACAACGTGACACACCTTCCTTATAGGAGTTGGTGTCCAATATGCGTACAAGCAAGAGGCAGGCAGAATACACCAAAGGCTTTGATGACAGCAAAGTACATCCAATCCACAGCGATTGACATCCAATCCAGGATGGTCATGGCCATACAACTGACCAACAAGAGGATGCTTTTCGACTATGCAGTCACACAACTACAGCACTTCCTCATTGAATGTGGAAGAACATCACACACCATACGCTCAACAAGAACGGCAACATCACCACAAGGAACTCAGGAGCATACAGTTCACAATCAGAAGGAGGAGTAGAGCGAGCACACAGAA